ACTGGCTCAAGGTTGACACCGCCTTCCATCCTTCCAAGGTTGCTAAAATGAGGACCTGGATTGTTGGGGGAGAGAGGCTGACTCGCAAACTGCTTAGAGAGGGCCGCAAAGGACTAGGAAGCAGTATATAAGTCTAAGCGCTGTTGCTGTTGCTACCTCCTGAAGTGCAAGGCATGGTTTTCAGCAGGAATCCATGCAGGGCTAAAGTGGTTGGGAATACCAGCACAGGACAGCGAGTTATGGTCCCAAAAGTCCTCCTGCTGAGACATTAATATGTTTAAATGCTTATTTTCTTTGATGTTTGTGTCCCTGCAGTTGGTCTCAGACAGATACGCCCTCGACTTACAATAAGTTTATTTAGTGACCGTTCAAAGTTACTGCAGCACTGGAAAAAGAGACCTATAACTATTTTTCACATTTCCGACAGTTACAGCATCCCCATGGTCATGTGATCAAAATTCAAATGCTTGGAAACTGACTCATATTTATGACAGTTGCAGGTCCTGGGATCATATGATCACCTTTTGTGAGTCAAGTCGATGGGGAAGCCAGGTTCACTAACACCCATTATTAATTTAACAAGTGCCGTGATTCACTTAACAGCTGAGCCGAGAAAGGTCATAAAATAGGGCAAAACTCACTTAGCCACATAAATGTTGGGCTCAATTGTGGTCGTAAATCAAGGATTAACTGTACTGCTTAATCCAGGAGCCAAACTGAATGTGCTTTATGCAAAATGCCTCTATACCTTAGCTCTAAACCAGAAAGAGCCCATTCCTTTTTGGCAACTCCCGGTGACTTTGGGGAAAAAAACTAAGAGACTTGAACTGGTGACCTCCAGAAAAGGTGGTCATGTTAATCAGACTTGGATGGGAGCCCACCAGGAGATGCCAAAGTTGTAGCCTAGACTGGGAATTTGGAGAAAGGTAATAACCAACCACATTATATGCTGCCCCCCCAAATGCCATGGACCTATCGCTCAGTTTATTAGGAATTCGCTTCAATGTGAGACTTTGCTTTGAACTGGCACAGACCTCTCATATTATCCACTCTGAACCTTACTTTGCATGAGACCTCTGGGGGGTGAGAAAACATGTACCCAAGCCAGCATTGCGCATGTGTGCACACGCATACACACACTCAGACACACCATCAGTTTTGGATAAAAGTCATTTTTGAACTAAGAGTTGACACCCACTCGGAGACATTTAATCGATCAATGCAAACAAGCTTGCCTTGATGTGCTGACCCATCAGCCTTTCCTCTGCTTGTTGACTTACTGTGTGTAAGAAGATCAGCCTTCTCAGGCGAGCTTGGGTGGGAATTCCCAGATTTCAAAGCCTATTTAGATGTACTGTAGAACTTTGGTGGATATTTGTGGTGACTTATTCTGACGTTTTGGAGTTGGAGTGGTGTCTTTCTTCCAATGGTGACCAGCATTTGTTCTGGTTGCTGTGAGCCTGTATTCATTAAATTATGATGTTTGTTTTTAATCATCCTCCTCTTCTAATGACCCCATAATCCCCTGTGGGGTGGAGTCTGGGCAACTGAATAGAGCTAAGTTTTTACTGGCCGGATGCCCTTCCTGTCACCAATGCAGAGTTTGTTCAGCAGATATATTCTCATTGTGCCCAGAGAGAAATATCTGCCTCCACCCAGGATTGAACTCACGGCCTCTTGATTGTGAGGCAAGAGCTCTACCTTTAGGCTGCTGTACCACTCATGTTTGTTATTAATGCTTTATGAAAATACTAGCTTGTGCTTCGCTACGAAACGATGTGGTCGGGCTTAGTTTTTGGGAAGGAAAATAAGGGGGAAAAAAATCTGCCTCTGTCTACCAGCATCCATCGGTATTCATCTGGCTAGCATCCTGTCAGTGTGTGAGATAGTTGAGGGCTGTTTGGAAACTGAAACAGTATTTTCTGTGTGAGCAAGGAGACAGCAAGGAGCCTGGGCGTGGCTTAGCTCAACTGATCTGTAGTAAAGCAGCTTGGTGCTGTGAAACTAAAAGTGAATCTGAAACTCCTCTACTTGTGTTTTGCATTTGGAAGAGATTTCTTTTCAGGTGGGGAGGGGGAGTAGAAATCCTTAGCATCAGAGTGTAATAATAATAATAATAATAATAATAATAATAATAATAATAATAATAATAATAATAATAATAATA